AGCATAACACCCAGTGCGTATGGATCATCCAAAGAAAAAGTGCAAATGTACGATGAACAGAAGCACAACAGATTCCTAGGAACATCCAAAAATAATTGAACAAAAATGGGGTTGTTAGGTAGATACAAAATACAGTTGGAGGAGAGTATCTGTGAACAAGTACTATGCCATAAAAACTATGAAAATCAAGGCAGGTTTCCAGCAACCAACAACTTGTTCATAGTTGACAATTTTATCAAGCGCTGCAGAGATTCCCAGTAGTGGGATACACTGAATGCACAAGATAGAAATCAGCACAGCTGCAAAAAACCCAAGAGTTTACAAAATTGTAAAAGAAGCTGCAAAAGAAATGCCCAATTATTTGCCAAAAGCTGCGTTCAAAAACCTTTGCTGCAAAAAAAGTGCAAGAAAATCTCACTGCAATTTGAGCGCTACATTAGGTATTTAATATATGCTAAGACACAAACTTGGTTCTGCTTTCTTCTCCATACTTACCAGTATACAGAGGAGATTAAAAGCTGTTTTAATCAGCTTGATGAGGATTACCGTATTAACTCCGTAGGCCTGGATGCTTACATACAGAATAGTTAGAATTGGGCTTGCCCAGTGAAAGCTGTGTTAACATTTTGTATCAGTGTTAGCTCACGGATACAAAAATCCCTGTAGGAGCTGTCTCAATAAGCATGAATTACAGAAACACTGAAACAGTTCTCATTTATACCATGAACTAAACCCACCACCTGTGTCTAGCTGGAGGAAATACATGGAAACATTACTGTCCTTCCTTCATGTCAGACATACTGAACGTTGTTTTCTTACACATGACGTATTTCACAACAGAAAAACCAGCAATGAGGATATAGCAGAAAAAAACCTAATTCAGAAATTTATTCTGCTTAATGACTGTATTACAGAACTCTGAGTTCCTAGAAAACAGAAGAGGACAAAGATAATGGATAAGGACAAGGATAAACTGATGTGATCTGACCAGACAACTTTAGTACAAGAAACTGTCCTTGACCTAAGTAAAATAATTTCCATTTTTTAAACAAGCAAACAAAATATATAGAGGATAGCACTGCAGTACCACATGGTCTCGTGTTTTCTTTATTCCCAGTGGTGTTACTGAAGCATCGATTTTTAGACTTAATAGCTTGCATACATACTATATGTAAAAATCTAAGTAGCTTTCCCATAATGCCCTCATCTCAGGACATACAGATCAGGCACTTATGACCCTCTTCTGCAGTCAGCTTTATTGCAAGGCTACCAGTGATCCAACAAAAATCCTGTTCTGACTCCAAAGTTATGGCAAAGACTTCTCTGCTTACCACATGTTAGGTTTAAGGTTGTCAGCAGTATAGCAGTCTTCTCACTCTTGGGCAAGCGCTGCAGCCAAAAAAAAAGAGTGAAAGGACACAAGGAGTGACCTTGGTAAGAGGTTTGCTACTGATTTCAGTAAAACCAGGATTTCACTTTTAGGGAAGGTATTTCCAGAGATGAGGCATACTCTTGGGGGTACTGCTCTTTCACAGAAGGGGAAAAGTTATCCTGTAACTAGACTAATAAAATTTGATGTCCACCTATTCTGGACTAGCAAAATGACCACCAAGAGGTGATGTTTTAATTCTCACTCATTACAAGAATAGAGACATGCCAAGTAATGTTAAGTAACATCGATACTAGCAAAACTGGGAATAGCAAAAGCATTTAAACTGACAGAAAATACTTTCAGTCAGTGAGAATACCTTCCCTGAGTTAGAATAAAGAGAAAAAGGTGTAACCTTAAGGTGAAAGGTGATTATGAAAGGATTTATACAAACACCTACTACACCTGGAAATTGGATTTGATGACTAAGAAGGTCCCTTTCAATCCTTTGTTCTAAGTGAGAATTAATTCAGTAACAGACATTAAGAAAAGGTTTGGAGGTGCAAGATGGCATAATGGAAATGTGGTAAGTTGCAATTATGTGAACTTGCACATTAGGTGCAGGCATTATGGTACAATATTTAAATTACAGAAGGCAGACCCCAGAGTTACACAGCCACAGATAATCTGGAGACATATTTTTAATGTAAATAAATATTTTAAAATAACATATTAATGTGAAATAGGCATAAGCTATTAATAAAAACAGGTTGGAGGGGTTATTTACAGGCCATTAATTCTTCATCTAAAATGAAACAAAAATACAACTGAAGTAACTAATTTTCATTTATAAAAACTTCAATTCTTCATAATATGCAAGTCCCACATTTTCAACAATATACAGTCTCAAAATAAGTCTGTGGATACTATTACTTAATTAAAAAACACCAAAAAGAATGCTGAAGGAGGATAAAAAGGCACTGTAATTCTTAATTTTACAAGTGACTTTGTGATGTCTTACTGAAGGAGCAAATACTGGCTGCTACCGAGGAAAATTCACATAAAAAGGTACCTTCCTTCCAACATTTCTAACGCAAAAATGCTATACTCTAACTGTATCGGGCTGAAAAAATATTCCTCCACCTCTGAAAATGAAATAACTTCTTTTCTCACAAACACAGAGAGGGAGATGAATGTGCCCTTAAAAACCAAGTATGACTAAGGAGTAGAAAGCTATTCATCACTCAGTCTGAAAAACAGGAACATCAAATTAAACCCATAGCTACTACCAGAGGGAAAGAAAAATCCTGACTCTTCCCCAAAACACTCGCAAAGATAGGTACCTGCTGAAACTTCTCTATGGTGTGACTGGATACCAGTTTTCAAGGCTGGTCCCTATTCATCACTTTGGCCAATGGCTATCAATTTGGCCATCTTGTCTGGCTAAACAACGTAGTACTGGCAGTTGCATTATAATCACACTAGGTTAATACTGGGGTGCATCTGAAACGGACAACTAACAAAAGCAGTATTACTGACTGACCTCACACAATACCAAGCAGCAAGGGAGGAGATGACCTCTGTCAGCACAGGGGCAGAATACCTTTGCTTGGTAACCTATCCATGAAGACTAATTAGTTTTGCTAGCCTTGCACCTGCACCCCAAAGCCAAGGTGATGTAATATAAATGCACCTTATATTTCAGCATCACACATACACTCATGTAGAATGGGGTTTCTCTAGGCCTACATGGTAAAGTTACATATCCTGCCCCACTTACACAAACATAGCTAAATATTCTGCTTAAAGGTGTGGACAGAAAAATTGAATATTATTAACCTGAAATAATCCATAAACTTTTCCAGCTGATTAGTATGTATTTGAATAGAGAGTTCCAGTGCTTGGTCATACAGAACACAGTTTGAAATCAGTTGCTTCTATTCTCTTTTGTTTCAGTGAGCATGAGACCTTGGGAGTTAGCAGAGATTACAGAGTCTGAGTGAAGCATTGAAGAACTTTCTTAGAACTCTAGCAGTGGAGAAGATGAGGAGTCCTCCATGATACAGAAAATCTACCCCAATCCCCTCTCCAAAACCCAGACAACCTAATTCAAGTCCTTAACTCAAATAAAAGACTCTATGCAATAATCAAGAGCTGCATTTTCATGATCATCCATAAGGCAATGACTACTCTTCAAAAATACTATCTAAATGTATGACCTGATACTATATTCAATCATTTATACAATGAAAGAATGAGCTGAAAAGTCTTTTACTTTTAGTGCAATGTCTTTCTTCAAGGAAGAGGTGTAAGTCTGCATTCTCTTTATGGATAACAAACATTAAAAAAACTTTAGGACATGAAACTTTGAACATTTACTGGTCAGTTATTACAACAAAACAACATAACTACAGAAGTCACTATCTAAGAGCTGTAAATAGACTTAGTGATTTTACCTGCTCTACTCTCTAAAAGAAAAGATTAACAGGTTTGCAGGATGCTTATCATCTGAATTAACAAGTATTGGCAAAGTTTTTTTGTATATTCTATCCACTCTTAAAATGAAGATAATCAGACCTTTATTCTGTCATCTAAGCTAGGAACTTTGATTATTCTGCAGAACTGTAATACTGTCCATCTTTGTGACTTCAGGAGGGCTAGATTTTGAAAAAGAACTTATTTAGTGGCAACAGTTGTATTATAGTCCCAAACATTACCTGATTACACCTTAAATACGTTTATTTGTTCATTAAATAAGCAAACATTAAAGCATTAATAAATTGTGGTGGTACCTGAAGAATTCAAGTCTTACTGACTTGTCCTCCTGAAACAGAGATTGGTAACTGTTTCTCATGAGTGGAAAGTGTGCAATTTAAGGCAGTTGACAGATGTAAGTAGAAGAAAAACTGCCAACAGCTAGTGCTTATTGAAATTGCAAAATGAAACTGTGATGCATAACATTGAATTGACACTGCAACATTTTCATTACCCTGGGAAAGCAAGCCTTGTTGCACAAACAGAACAGACATTGTCATATCAGCACTGGATGCCTATTGTTGGTAGCATTTTCTGTGACTAAAATAGACTTGCTGATGATGTCTTATACTAGAAAGACATGAAGAATCTATGTTATAACATGACAGAAAAGTGGATGGTGTAAAAAAGAAATAGAAAAAAAGAGAAAAAGCAGATCAGAAATTGCTAATGAAAATATTGAAGAGAGAAAAATGAGAAAGGGAGAACCAGTCCAAAAAGAATAACTTAAAAAAGACAGCAAACAGTGTAAGAGTATCAATAACATTGTCTGCTGGCACCAGCCAAGTAGAAAAAGTAGTGCCTCTAACCTTCAGAATGCAGAATCTTTCATTAAGAACAAATAGATGAGTTTGACAGACATATTAGTAAGAATAGAGTATCAGTTACTTGAAATACCCATCTCTATCTTTGGTCACTGACAGCATAGTACACTTAACAGATTTCTGAAGCAAACCTTTGATTCAGTAAAGTATTCAATCAAAACCAGTCTGAGGAACAGCTTTATTGAAACCATAAATTTATGTTCAGTTCTGTTCAACATTTGGCAAAGTTCAGCACCTCCACTAGGCATTTTCCCTCCTCCCAAATGGCTTACCATTTTTAATATTGGAAGTTTTTCATGTCTGAAATAATGTTCATTGCCATCAACATCTCAGTTTTCATCAGAACCCTGAATCTGTGCTACAACTTAGTCTTCTACAAGTTATCTCCCTTGAGTCAAATATGTGTCAGGCTACCCACTGTCTCTCAGGGCACAACAGGATGTCCGGGGATCACCTGTGACAAAAACAATGATTCCATTAGTCTGAATTCACAGCAGGAGATTCATTTATTAGATAAAACAATATTTCATAGAGAATTTAACATTACCATTTTAAAACTTAAAAAACCCCACAAAACCAAAACATCATCAAGAACAACCTTTTCCTGAAAGCACTGATGAGAACTCTAATCCAATAATCAAGATAGAGATTTTTTTATAATATAAATTTAAAATACAAGAATAGAACTGAGAGAGGAACACTCTTCAAGTGGATTCTTTTACTGTTCAAACCAAAACCCAGGGCCAGTTTGAAAAGCCTCCAAAATAAAATTCTTAGTGATAGATCCCATCCCCCAGTTCTGCAATGGGTGTACTACTAACAAATATTGGATTAAAAAAAAAAAAAAGTCACATAGCTGTGTTCCTTAGTTCTTCCATACATGATCTCCCTGATCTTACAAATTTTGGTCAGAGATTACTCTTGAGTTCATTATTCTTTTGAACACTCATAGAGCTGTCTTTACAGAACTGTCTGGACCTAATGCAGCAGAGGCAGACTTAGTACACAAAAAGGCATTTCCCTTTTTTCATTGCCACCTCATTCAGAGAAGTAGATAACACACATACTGAAGTTTGAGCATGTGTGCAGTGCCAGTGAATGTAACTGTATGTTGCTGCTCTAAGGCCTTGGGGCCTCAACAATGGCTGACTCCTCTGGTTTCTTCACTAGTAAGAAAAACAAGTGTTTTAGCAACAAAACATTTGGGCCAAGGACATCCAAAACTGGGAAAAAGTACAAAACCCCAAATACATCTAGCACAGAACAGAGATGGGCAAGAAGCTGAATGCAGCTTTCTGCCCTGATGTAGTAGGTGCTAGTTACTAGTTTGGCACCAGTCCATGTGTTATCCCAACTCACGTCAGGTGTTAGCAGACAGGACAGGCACAGAAGAATGAGAATGAGACTGCTGGAGGCTCCCTTCCAGCACAGGGGTCTGTTGGAGGGGTATTCAGGACACCTTTGGGCCTCAGCACATAAAAAGCCCAGAAAAAAGCAGCCCACCAGGCCAAGAGAACAGTTGCAAAAGGAAGAGAAAGAGCAAGAGGTGTCATTGCACTCAATAGAGCTTTCTTTATTGACCTTAAGAATGCTCCAGTCCTGCAATCACTGAGTACCCAAATCCCCCTGTCAAAGTGGCAGGCGCATGTTAACTGAGATTAGTTTACTGCTGGTAACATTAAAATGTCAGTTAACATGCACCCGTCACTTTGACAGGGGGATTTGCAACCTCACCTTGTTCTTGATGCATTGTTTTTCTTAATGTGGGTAACAACAAAGGCATAAGGATACTAGCAGTCACTGAATTTGTGTGTAATATCACATAAATCACATTACATGATCTCCTCAGATTTCTGAGATTCTCCAGTGTTCATAGTTTCAAGTAGAAACTCCACTTGTTGCAAAAGGTACCAGTAATCTTTAATCCACCTTCCCCAAGAGTAGTTATTTCATCTTTATAGAGTGGAACTATTGAATGACCTTTTTTCTGATCAATGAATGTTAGTGATGGAAAATGAGACACATTAGAAGAAGTTTGGCATGAGTCACTCTAAAGTGAGCCCTTCTAATTCTTTTTAAAATTAATTATTAAAGAAAGCACATCAGTTTAAAGTTCAAGCTGCAGGAATGTGCTACCAAAATATGGGCATTAAAATCCTTATGCCTTGAATGTTTCCCTTGAACTTTGTTTCAAAGTTAAAAGATCACAGACGTCATAAACCAAATTCAGTCTTTGTGTAGGCCAGCATTAAATTGCAGCTGTTCCCATCACAACTGAATTGGTGTCAGGCACCTGTTAAGCCACCATAAAAATAACCCAAATCAAAACAGACCAGAACTATGAAACTTATTACAAGTCAAGTACATTAAATAAAAGAGGATCCTACCAGTTGCATCATCAGCTTCTGTGTCTAGAAGAGCATCTACTGAAGCCATGCTTGTGACTATGAAGGAGTCTGCAGTATCAGACACTCCTCGCTTGCTGAGACAAACTTCTTTGAGATACTGACTTCTCTGCTTTGATCAGTGTCTTTAACTAACCTCCTGACTGTCAGGAAGGTTACACCACTTGTTGAGAAGATTTCCTAGGCCTTCCTACTATTCCTCAATGCACTTTATTTAACCAAAAGTCCACAGGTTCAATTTGTAGTTATCTTCAAAAAATATTTCTATAATAGAGAGTGGGATAGAGATGCAAGATGTTTTCCCCCACCAAATCCACCTTTTTGGTAAACTGTTAAATACTCCTTATTTCTGATAGTCCTCTCTTGAAAAGAAGGAAGAAAGTCTTCAGTGAGATACATTTTCTTCAGGAGGTATCTTCTGTTCCTCCCTGACCTTTTTCCAGTGGAATTTTCATCCTGTGTTCTTTTTCCTCAATAAATGTGCCATCAAAATACTTAATATAGGTTGCTGTAAATTCAGAAGTATTTTTTCTTATTACAGTTCTGTAAAAAGCTGCAACTGTCTTTATAAATAGTAAGTTACAAATTAGTTGTATGTATAAATCAGATTTTTTTCAATGTACACTCTTCCTGTATAATCTGAGTTAGTGTAAACAAGGCTTAGTAAACTTTCTTCTTCATAGTCAAAAATATTAGGCCAGGGTTTCCTAAATATTTATGCCTTGTCATAAATTTACTCGACTGAGTGATCCCTTCTTAATTCAATGACACATTTAGTAGTGATGCTACATAAGTAAAGTTATGCCCAGACACAGGTTTTTACAGGATTAGTCAAAACCACTTTGCACATCTTTTTGTAGCTTATTAATGATGTTCTTCCCAAAGTTACCTTTTATCCATGGACTAAATAAAATTTACTTTGAAAAAGACTTTAAAACTTTTTCTTTTTTTTTTTTTCCTAAAACAGGCTACAATCTATTTCCTATCTTATACCAAGTATCTCCTCGTTTTAAGTAAGCCTTAATTTCAGAGGGTAAACCAGTATCTAATTCATTTGCCAGTCTAAAATAATTTCTGTTCAGAAGAATGCTCTGTTCTCCTAGCTGTAGGAGATAACTGTTGCCAGTTTGCTGCAGTTCTTAACAGCCACTATGACAGAAAAGGTAAGAAAAAGAAATTCAGTAAGAGTGAGCCAGTGAGCATGTGTCAGGATTCAAGAAGGATTACGTGAGATCTACAGCAAAGAATATGCACATGCATAGCACCCAATGATTCCCTTCTGTTTCCAGAAAAGAGAGACCATGTTTATTTCAGACTTATTACCAGACATGTCTGTATCGCAAACTCCACAGAGAAGTGCTGAAGTATGTATTTAGTAATTAAGGCCTACGAGAGTATCACCCTTTCCCCCAGAGTAACCCCAGTAACATGCCTCAACCCTTTCTCCCTCCATCTGAAAACCTCCCAGGGAACAAGCGTAGTCAAGTGCTGGGTTGGATTTAGGGAGTCTGATTCTCCTCTCCAGTACATAACATTGCAGTGTGTAAGCCTGTAGCTCCAGTGAATGAAATTTTCTTTCAATGAAAGGAGGGAGAGAATACAGCTTTTAGAACTGATATAGGAAAGAAAAAAATAGCATCTGTTAGTCTTTGTTTCTGTGTGTTGGCATGCCACTATGGCTGAATAAAACTAAAACATATAATCCATTTGCATTACCTGATGTCTTAACCTTAGAAAGTTATGCATGCCACTGTTTGCCAGAGTCCAATACCAGCTACCTTTATTATGCTAACTTACATCAAAGCCTGAGCTCAAGTTCCTCCTCAGATGAATTTTTAACCACCAGCTAGTGAACTTAGTGGAGTTGTAATGAAGAGCTTGACAGCTAGTTATGAAAAAAGAAAAAAAAAAGACAGCATCTCAGTCATCATGGAGTGAAATTCTGCTTTGATTATGAATGCAGCTCCCCTCACATGCTCCTGTAGATTTGTCAATGAAAGATGCACAGCCTTTCACAGCACAGATTTGGTACACGTGCGCAGCAGCTGGTCTGACATGATAAATCAGAATGAATCTGAAGAAGTTCCTGCCTGTCTGACCAATAATCCATGAATTAAGAGGGATTTACGCAATAGACCATCAGAGATTCTATGCTGTCAAAATTAGAGAATTTCATTTTTTAAGAATGTGCCTAAATCTGTTTTCTGTCAGATGTTTCCCATTCCCCAAAGACCTAGATAGCAAGTGGAGGTGCACATAGAAAATTAAATGTCTTGGGGTTTTGAGGGGATTTTTTTTTTAATGAATCGTGCAATGTCTGTAACTTCATATTTGCTTGATTTTAATCTCCAACCATAATACTGATTACTAGAGACATTTCCGTAGCTCAGAGAAAATCAGAGGAACAGCATCCAGCATGTGCAGACACCACACTGCAGCAGCATCCCCAGTACCGTGTCTAAATTTCATTCTTAAGTAAGGTTTACTTGTCTGTTTTGCCAGGTGGGAACTGTCGGGAGCTAAAAATAGCATCACGATTCGGTGGCGGGTGCTAAAAATACACTTACCGGCTCGATCACCGACTCGGCATGAAAGCTACAGTCCTTGGCACCTGTCACAGCCCATAAGCGGTGGCTGGGAATGGAGACAAAGCACGCCCAGCCCTGGAGTTCCGCTCCCGGGCAAAGTTGCACTGGCAGACAAAGAGTCCCCAGCGCTGCACACCACTACCACGGTCCCCTTCCCCCGACCCCCTACCGCCCCTTACCCGCGTTCCTCAGCTTCTTGTTGCGGTACACGGAGATAATGACCAGGAGGTTGCCCAACAGGTCCACCACGATGGTGAAGATGAGGATGGCAGCCAAGGTGGAGGTCACCCACGGCGGGCGGCGCGGGGCGCCCTCGGACGGAGGGTCCCGCGGGAGGACGGAGCTGTTCAGATCGCTCTCGTTCACTCTCATCCTGCTGCTGCACCACTGCCTCCCAGGGCAGGGCCGGGGCCGGGGCCGGGGCAGGTCGGGGCGGGGCGGGGATCCCGGAGGGGATCCCGGCCGCAGTCACCCGCCCAACCTACAGCCAAGCGGGGCTGTCGGTAGCAGGCGCCCCCGCTTCGGCCATGGCCACGGCCGCGGCTGCGCCTCGGAAGTTGCAGTTCCGCGGGGGGACACTTTTATACCCTGCCCGCGCCTCCCGCCCCGCCCGCCGCCGCCACCGCTGCCGCCAGGTGACACTGGCCCGGCACGTGCGCGCCCGGGGGTTCCAGCTGCCGCCCGGCGGCGGAGGCGCAGCGCCACAGCGCCCCCCCGTGGCGCCCGCCCGGCGCGGTGGCGCAGTTCCATTCACAGATACGCTCTGCTTCTTCCCCCCATTCAAGCTGCCGGCGCCCATTCACACCGGTCGCTCCATTGAAGGCGGGGCCGCGAGAGACATCGATGGGCTCTGCTTGTCTGCGGTTATGTGGTTCACAGCGGTCGGAGCTATTTTTAGCTCGCCCAGTTAATGCCATATCTTAATTAGGTGCGGCTGAATTCTGCTCCCCCCTTTCCCCGTCTTTATTTAACATCGCACTCGCAAGGGAACGTGAGCTGGGAGAAGCCCCCGCCGGGCAGCGGAGCGCGCCGCTATAAAAAGCTCCTCTCGAAGCCGCGCTCGCCGCGGGAGGGGGGCAGCTGAGGACTCGTGTCCCGGGAGCACCACGTGCTGCCGCTGCAAGGAGGGAAAATGGGGGAACACGCCACGCCGGTACTCCCGCCCTTTCTCCACCCGCTTGGCAGAGTGCGGGAGCCGGCCGCCGCATCTTGAAAGCCCGGTGAGGTCTGGCTCCGCCGTTCATCCAAAAGCAGTGCGGAGGGAATAAGGAGCCATTGCCCGGCCGTGGGGAGGGACCGGCTGAGGGAGTGGGGAGTACCCCTTCACCCCCTCGGACGATGGGTGTTCCGGTAAAAAAAAAAAACTCAAAGGCACTTTCTTCTGTGATAACGTCACTGAATCTTCTCGCTGGTGTAGAGCCGTTTAAAACATCTGAGCAAACTGGGCGTAGGGATTACTCCCATTCAGGACAGCGGGCTGCCAGCGCAGGCGGCAATCCCCACTGTACTCAGCTACGCGAGAGGCTGCGGCAGCCACGGGCCGCCCTTCCGAAACACTGATTGGGATACTGCGGCTGGGTTTACCCGAAACCCCAGCGGCGGTGGAGGCTTGAGGCACTCCGCAGTAGGAGCACAGGGCTCCTCCTGGGGCGGCGCAGGTTCCGAGGGGTGCTGCGGAACGCGGGACGGGAGAGGCTCCTGCTGCTGCCCCCGCCAAGTCGCGCTCCGCAGCCTGCGCTGAACTGCTCAGAGGCTGCGGTTCGTACTTGTAATGTCAGCCCTAGATGATGGATAATTAAAACCACTGTTATGAGCGCCTAAAAAACGTTATGACTAACGGTGATTCCACCGGTCACGTTACGAAACGGCGGCGGGCGTGTCAAGAAAACCTTGGTCTGGTCCTTGCTGTGGAGACTTCGGCGAAAGCCGCAGCAAGAACTCGTACCCCGAACTGCTACCTATGGGCGCGCTTTCCTCCCCAGGACTGAAACCCCTCTTCGCGCCCCCCGGGAGCAGCTGACCTGCCACAGCCGTCAGCGCGAGTGCGGAGAGGCGAGGAGTCCCATCCCACACGACGCGGCTGTGCTGGGCTGTAAAGGCTGTAGGTGTCAGGGAAATCCCGAGCTCCCGGTTCAGCCTTTTTCCTTGTACCAGCGCAGGCAGCGGAGCACGGAGCGCAGCGGCTCAGCCTCCTGCTGCTGCATGACAGTGGTTTTTCCGCGGTGGAGAGCTAGCTTACTCGATCGCTTATTGCTTCCCTCCTGCCACAATAAACAGCAGACCCGGAGATACGTGTCGGCATTACCGAGCAGTCTGTAACCGCTTTCCCGAGGACAGCAAAGCCCAACGCTGCAGGCGGAGAACAGCAGCCTGCACTGGAGGGGGGACGGGACGGGACGGGACGGGGACTGGTTGTAGTAGGTGCCCCCTCATTGCGGCCCCTGGGTCCCTGTGGTGAGCACACCCTGTCACTTACAGACTTAGACCACATACACACACACACCCCCTTCCAGGTGATCCTTCAGAGAGAGAAAAACAAGTGCACGTTGTAGGTGCATAACAAATAGGTTATCGATCGGTGGGAAAAGATTAAAATTAGGGGTAGGCAGTAGAAGGGGCCATCAGATCAAGGACAGACACACGTGGAGACAGATAGAACTGCCTGGTCTTCAGTAGACCTCAACGGGTGTTTCTGAACAGGGAGAGTTGCATTGTTCCACAAGGTTAGGTAGGTTTAACCAGAAGGTAAAACAGTCATCAGGATAAGCCCAAGATTTTGCTTCAAAGAAAGGGAATCTGGTCCATTTGGGGACTGCTGTCATTTGTCTCCGCATTGAGATGTTCAGCAACGTTTGCAATTTAGACGCACAGTGAAATTGAGACATCACTCGGTCCCACTTATGTCTTTGTGCCAAGCGTGTATACTGGGCTTAAAGGCTGCTTCTGCTGATGAGAGCAGTGCTTAGGGAAGGGAATGTTTCCTAAAAAGGGAACTGGGCAGGTCCTATCAGAAAGCCCTATGAAAGCTAAGAGTGACCCAGGCACCAACAAGGACAAAGATATATTGAGAAACCTGTGCTGTTGCTCTGTGTGCCAACATTGCTTCCTGGGGAGTGGGTGCTGAGAATCAGTATGCGGGTTGGGCTCCAGCCAGGACTATCTTCCTATTCCCCCCTCTCACCTGAACAGAGACACCTCATCTGGAAAAACTGCTCTCATGAGGTGTTTACTCATATTTTGGAGCATTAGAGAGTTTAAGACGCCACCCAAATAAGGCTGTGAAAACTGCAGAGGAGCAGAACTAACAAGATCAAGCTAGTTCACACCAATCAGTATTCAGAGTCAGTCAGATGGTCTTAGAGGCAGTTTGTCTGGTACTTTCTGTTATATCCTCTGGGGCTAGTCTCTCTTTCCTCACATTTTCTACACTTCGTTTTTTGTTTTTGTTTTTTTTTTATATGCATTTTTAAAATATAAGTAAGTGAAGTTATGCTTCACTTGAAAGCAGCATAGAAGTCATCAAGGCACAAGAACAAGTAAATCGCTAGGGCCAGTCACCCCCTATTATAATAATTTAGGTCAGGATTGACTTCACTGTAATCAACAAAGTTAGCAGAGATCCGAATCAGCTATCAGCTCTTGGTGAATTAACTTTATTACATGAAGAAACACAGAACTTAGCTGGTCTGTCTTAGAAAAGCCCTCATTTGTCTTTGAGTTACACTGGGGGTGTGCCTGTTGTCAGCCTGATCTCTAGCCTTGTTTCCCTGCTGATCTTGGACTGATGCTGTGGTCTTGATATTGATCCTGTTGACCCTGCTAGGGCTTTCTGGATGGATGCTGGGCTTGAGACATCTATTTGCCCTGCCTGCGGCTGTAAGTTGAGGGACACCAGAAGAAAGTGGAGAGGTAATGGATCCATGCTTTTCATCTGAAGAGATAGGTGGAAATGTAGAAAGCATTAGAAGAAATTAGCAATTGAGCTGTTTGTCAGAGTGAGAGAATGGAGGCTGCCTGGCAGATGGGACTACGGTGGTCAGTAACTGAACCAAGTGCTGAGAGTGTGTGGGTATGGTTACCAGGCAGAAAATGTAGTGGGAGGGCAGAAGGCATAACTCTTGTCTCCATGTGGAGAAATCTTCACCAGGGTACTGCATGTTTTATTCCATCAAGGGGAATGGCTGGGGAGGCTAATGACGGATAGCATACCTTGGAAGGGTTTGATTTGGGCACAAATCCTGGAGGAAGGCCTTGGAGGGCTGTACTGGAATAAGAAAGTAGGTAAGTTGTGGTGTCTGTGGCACTGAAGCAGCAGCTTCTGATATCCTTTATATTCTTATCCCTTTCTCTTCTGCAGAGAAGCCCAGGAGCTGCATGAAATAAATAAAAGCAGATTTTGTTCTGCTCAATCCCAATAGGCATTTCTGTAGTGAAATGTAGAATCTATCTTTGAGCTGAGGGGGAAAGGGATGAGGTAAATGAAATGGTAGTGTGTTTCTGTGGCAGGCAGTAGCATGGAGAGTAGGAGCAGTTTCTCATTTGCATGCTCAGCATTAAATTACGTGGGTGCAGATTCTATCTGGTGCTGTTCTTTATAGTAAAGCTTATCATCAGGAGACCTTCAGAGATCTCCCGTTATGTAGTTATGGTGCTGATGATGCTTGGGCACTGTAGGAAAAGAAGAAACTCATAGCTCCTATTCCACAGTGATGTTCTTAGCCACTTTCAGTGAAACATTTGCCAACCTCTTGGGCTGCTCTTCCAGAGCACTGACACAGTCCTTTAGTTCTTCCCACAAATGTGTCTTGACAGCTAATCTTCAGTACACAGCTCTTGAGGATACACCTATGGCTAAACATGTGGGGCAATTCTACTTCTTCAGCAGTAAAATTGGTGTGGCAACAAGGATGTTGCATCTCATCCAGTGGTGGGAGATCTCTGCTCTCTATTACATCAGACCATTAGTCTGATGACCAGTGAACTTCGCTGTTCTTCCTTCTTTTAGATGAATGATTTCATGTGCTGAAATTTCATCACGTTTTGTGACCTGCAGCTCTTTTTTTTCCTGCTGTATCTGTGTGACAAGTCTTTTATTTCTCTAGGTTTTTTTCTCACTTGCAATCTGTGACATCTACCTACATATTGAAAGTCCTAAAATAACTGTGTAAATTGTGTCCTGTCTATCAGTACTGGGTTTTGGCAGACAATGTAAGAGATTGACGGGAAATGTTCCAGCTTTTTAGTTCTTCAATCAGTTCTTCAAGTACTACCTTAGTGCATACTATTTGCATTCAGAGGGAGCTGTTAAAACAGTTCTTGTGCAACACAGGCTGCCTCTGGCTTTGGAGTTTCTAAATGAAATGCCATTCACCACATGGATAGGACAGAGAGAAATGCTCTGTAGAAATCAA